GGAGATATGATCCTACAAATTATCAACAATATCGGTTGTTCAAAGTGGACAGGACTTTGAAGTAGAGGGAAATTGTGGGGTTAAATACTAAAAAGTACACCAAACAAACATTTAAAAACATTATCTAGCATATAAAAATCCTAAAACTATAAAAAGCTTAGCTTATTTATGTTTTCAGTGTTTAGTATGTGATGGTGGTGGTGGTGGTGGTGGTGTTTTCGGTGTTCAGATGAGAAGGAACCCATAAACTCGAAAGCAGTTCTTTATCCTTTTTACAAGTGCTGATCCAATATTCCCAAAAGTTAAATCTCATTAAAACGAAAATCAGGAACAGTTCTCGACTTTTACCACAAGACCACTAACTATTGTCTTTGAAGCGGTAGAGGACAAAGAAGGATGTGTAAATTTCAAACCAAAAAAAAAAAAATTAATAAATTGGGTAAAAATGTGAAATTTTGTAGGGCTACATGTCTGACATGTAATTTCAGGAACAGTAAGAAAATGTATACTGTATACAGTACAGTATATATTTCATTGTGCATTTCCCTACAAACTTTAGAATTACCGACTTGCTTAAACAGTTTTTACTAAACAATGTTGAGTTTAACATGGAAGAACCAGCCGATAACCCTCAGAAACGTTGACAATTACCACACTGGAAATATACATTACTAATAATTTGTATTTTCCTAGGTAAATGTTCATGTATTGTACCGTGTGATTTTCTCAATAAATTCATATAAAATCAAGTGGTAAAAATGCAGTTTCGGCCAATATGCCCTAGTACCTGTAGTTTAGAAATAAGTTTATCCTGTGTATTTTGGTGCAATTTGACCGTTATTTCCGGGGCAAGTACCCGTTTTAGAATCCCCCCCCCCCCCAAAAAAAAAAAAATAAATAAATAAAAAATAAAATTTATTTGACATTCTTTGCCCCCTGGTTGAAATGGGGTTAGAGATACTCCAAATAATGATATCTAAAGGTTGGGGATGGTTAACAGTCGGCAGTGTATTGTTCCGTTCCCCCCCACACCCAACAAAGTTATCGAAAAACTTTAAATTTCATTTCTGACGTTATTGTTCTTTGCCTTCTAGTTGAAATGGGGTTAGAAATACTCCAAATAAGGAGATCTAAAGATTGGGGATGGTTAAGACAGTCGGCCGTGTATTGGCCGAAATTGCGAAAATACCAAGCAAGGTTCCAGTACATGTTCAGGGAACAACTATGAACAGTTACTAATTATAGGATGTCATTTATATATCCACGTGCTAACTTTAGTTAATGGCCATCTTAATAGCAGTATTATCTGTCCCAGACATAGCATTCACAATTCCTGGACTCGAAGGAAAGCATACACCTCCTCCGTCCCCCTTCCCTGGACCCAACAGTACAAAAAGAATATTTTCTATCAACATACCTGCGTTCATCTGTTAATAACCACAACGTACAGTCCTGGAAGCCCTTACGACGCCACACACACACACACACGCGGAAATTAACAAACGTAAAGCACAGAAATGGCCATCCAAAACCGAGTGACCACACACAATATGTTTCCACTGCCAGTATATACCCATACTGAATGACCACCCGGCACACCGCCGAATCGACAGCTGAGCATCGTTGAGGCGCTTCGATTCCTCAATTCACTGGTTCGCTTTACTGATTCACACGAAAATCGCGAACGTATCTACTTACCGACTGGGTGGCATAAAAAACATCATACACGATTGATAATCATCTGTAGTCTCGTTCATTTTTTCAAATTATTTCTAGCCATCATTAGCTAAAACAAAATTGATAATTATTAAGGAAAATGATTCATGAGGTTCGGAGCTTTGTTAACGACAACGAACCCGCTTCAACGTCACTAAACTAGTCAACAACCAAACAAGTACGGTATTAGTTTTAACATCTTCAAAGCCCTTACTTGATACATAGTTATACTGTATACGATTTTTGTATTTCTTAAAACATTACAGGTAAAGGTAACAAAGAACAGGCAGAGCGAAATATAGATGATTTTAAATGACCATTGCATGAGAAGTAGATCAACCAGTAAATTTACGTATTGTGTACAGTGAAGCCTTAGAATTAACAGGTCTTTATTTTTATTGCTTTAATAATACAGCACTAAATCGTATTTAGTATATTTATGCTCATTCAACCTTTGATTACATGTATGTATATTTAGAAATGTTATCGTTAAAACTCTTGATTACAACACCTGCCCTTCTGATGAAAATATTGTATTTAGATTCGAGAAATTGAGCTTTTAAGAGTGTTTAATATTACGTTGATTTCCCACTGATCAGTTTCTTTATATTTTCTGATACACCTTTTATTTATGAATTATATATTGTTTTCAGTGCCCATGGGCAGCCTCTTTATGGTGGCCCCCCCTCATTATAACTACCCAAGAGGGTGGGGTGGGGTGGCGAGTAAAGCGAGCCTAAACATCTGCATATGGCTTCAAAATTCTCCAAAGAAGTGTTCATTTTTCAAAATTTTCCCGGGGGGTTTACGGTAAACCCCCCGGGAAAATTTTGAAAAATGAACACTTCTTTGGAGAATTTTGAAGCCATATGCAGTTATATTGAGGAAATTAGAACATTGAGAAATTTTTAATTAACTGTATATTTACTGATAGTGTACAAATTCCCAACACACACACACACACACAAAAGTGAGACATGACTAGTCATTCATGTGGATTCAAGTCGACCAGCCCTGATATGTGGAGGCCCCTGGGCAGCTACCCACTTTGCCCACTCCTGAATCCGGCCCTGATTGTTTTAGTAGTTAAAAAAAAAAAAAAAAAAAAAAATATATATATATATATATATATATATATATATATATATATATATATATATATATATATATATATATATATATATATATATATATATATATATATATATATATATATATATATATATATTTTGTCATTAGTGCAGCTTTTATGCTGATTGTAAGTAGCTACTGTATGCAACTCTTTTTTTTTTGCGTTAATAAATATTTAACATTTTATTAAAGTTTGTTTCCAGGAACAGTGTCTGGTTTCCGGTTGAGTGAAAATGAGTGATAATCTACAATCATTGTTTTCATTAAGCGAAACTGGTGCCTTGCACAAAATGCGGGGTACCACAGGGCAGTGTATTAGGCCGCTGTTATTTATTTGTTTCATAAATGACATGCCTGACGTTGTACACTCTTCCATACAAATGTTTGCTAATGACTCCAAGTTATTTCGGGAAATCGAGAACCAAGCGGACTGTGAAGAGCTGCAGAAGGACCTCTGTGGGCTCCAAGAATGGTCGAAGAAATGGCTGCTGAGATTCAATGTCACGAAGTGTAAGAGGATGGACCTGTGTTGTACCAACGGTAAGGAGGCGTATCATATGTCCCAACGGGATGAAGAAACTGCACTATTTGAGACTGAATGTGAGAAGGACCTAGGTGTGTATGTTGATAATGAGCTGAAGTTCTCGGGCCATTGCGAGAAGAAGGTAAATCAGGCAAATAAATTATTAGGTCTTATAAGAAGGTCGTTCAGATATATAGACGGTCCTTCCCTCGTAACGATCTTCAAGAGTGAAGTGCTTCCCCATCTGGAGTACTGTCACCCCATCTGGTCCCCGAAATATGATAGGGACTGTCAGTTGGTTGAAAATGTTCAAAGGGGGGCCACCAGACTGGTGCCTGCCCTTTGGCACCACAGCTACCCTGAGAGATTGGAGCGTCTGAAATTGCCTAGCTTATACTACAGACGGGCAAGGGGTGACATAATTGAGGTGTATAAGCATCTCAAGGGGCACTACTCAGTTGAGTGTACTTTCTTGGCGCTGACGGACGCTCGCCCCACAAGGGGTCACAGCTCAAGATTGAAGAAGCCGCAAGTCCAGAAAACTGTGAGGGCAAACTTTTTCGGAGTTTGAATTGTAAACTCTTGGAACAATCTACCAGAAAGTGTTGTGACGGCACCGAGTGTGAGCTCTTTCAAGACAAGACTTGACCAACACTGGAGCGGGTTCAGGTACATTCAGGAGCTGGTGCATGCCCAGTACTTGCCAACAGTGCGTAACAGAGACGTGACCGATCGCCCGAGCAGCTAACGAGCTGATCTTTTGGTGAAGAGGAGACAAGAAAAGGAAAAGTAATGAGAGACGTGACCAATCATCGAAGCGGCTAACGAGCCAATCAGTGGTGAAGAGGATAAAAGTAAAAGTAAGTAAAAACAAAGTGTGGGGATTGTGTCCAAAGAGAAGCAATGCTAAAAACGCCATGATATGCAAGTAAAGTGCAGAAACAACAAACAAGCTGGTATTCATCGGCAAATGTTGGATAGGTACCTGTGCGAGTCTACATTGTGCCAGCGTCACAAAGAGCAAAATTTGTACGAGCTTATGTTAAGCATGATTGGCCAGCACTTCCGATTCTTAGACCTGCAAGTCACAAATAAAACATTTCCACAAAACATGAGTTTCACATTTAAAATCAGCACAAAAAACTGTATTTTTAATGAAAATTTAAAAAATTTGGAACACAGTCCAAATTTTTAATAAGACCCTTCAATATAATTCACTCGTCGATTTTGCTTATCGTTCGTAAATCATGGAAAGTGACCTGTTGGCGACCTGTGGGGCCATGGTCAGCATGCTCACCTCGCAAGCGAATAGACCCGGGTTCGATTCCCGGGCAAGGTGTAACTAAGTAATGGCATTACAGTACAGTACAGTATAGTGTAGCAAGAATGATTTTACCTACTGGATACTTATTACCTCAGAATGCATGTGTAAGGTGTTAAAAGCACAAGTGTAAATGTCATACTGAGTGATTATACATTAAAATGTATCAATGGTATGACCAGGAAGATGGTATATTTTGACTGGTACATTCTGGCAGTAGGACAATGACACCATGTACCTTAAAATTGGCATCTTTTAATATTTGTCATAATTTGTGTAACACTGAAAGGGGAATTTAAAACTCGGTAATTGTTCTGAACTTTTTATTACATATCCCGATGATCAACACTGCTCTGGCAGCCAATGGAACAGAAGACGATGTGATTCTACATCAATCTGTAACTTTTCAATATTCAAACATAATTTTTTTTGTCACTGGTATTCTAAAGCCAAAATAATTCCCATCCTGAAGCATTAAACAACTAAAAATTAACAAAATCAATTCACCAGTATTAAAATTTGTTGTATAAAGTATTTACTTTGTAGTAATTCTTAATACAATATTCTGTCTGCACACTGTGAGAATCACTCAAAAGCTGTCCGACTACAGCAAACTCTAAAGTTACCGGGTACCTAAATTTCCATACACCACTAATTGTCTTTGGTAAAGAGGACTATCTACAGCACATAGCACAGCTGCTAAGTACAGTCAAAAGAACATGTATTCATATAACAAAAAAATAACAATAAAATAAAAAATAAAACAAAAATCACTGACTGCATACTTTAGGATGAAGCCCTAACCTTTTCCCAATGCAGGCAAGAAGTTCTTTTTCATAACAAATTGCCTATAGACAGAGAGAAGCAAAGCAGTTGAAGAAGCAATTACCTATGTCACAATTTTTTAAAAAGCTGAACAGTAATTAGCTTTGATTGCTCAAAAGCCTTGCATTTATAAGTCACTCTGATGTTTCCTTTACTGGGATATTTATCATCTCGGGAACAACAGCAGCTACCTAAATACTTCTTACATGATACTCAGAAACTAACATGGAATGTAGACATACAAATGGATTGTGACCTCATGATACGTGAATATATACATTATGCAAAACCAAACAAAAATACATTATGATGGCATTGCTACAACACAACCGGTCAACACGACATGATATGTTTGCATTCATTATGATAAATGCAGGAATAAATGCACCACTTATCCCAAAGGATATTATTATAATGGTAAACACAGCTCATTAGAGGTTGCAGTATCAAGGTTCCCCAGTTTCAGTATCGCTCCCGATGGAATAAGTGGGAAGATAGGTACTAAGAGTCTTTTCAAGATTTCTAAGGAGCTGAACACTTTTCAAAGGTTCATATTCTTTATTAAATTCCTTATACCTCCATGGACCACTGTTTGCATCATCATTATCACTGGTATGTTCATTTTCACTGACTATTGGCATCTTGACATCTTCCGTAGTAACACAACTCTTCAAGGTTTCCGTAAGCGCTTGCACCTTACCCTCTTCTTCATCTTCCTCAGAGTTACCATTTTCAACAACAGCTCCAAGTCTCCAGCGTGTTCTGCCAGCCACTTTCAATGCTCCGTCCTCCAGCTCCGCCTCGTCTTCCTCGTCTTCGCTACTTGTAAGGCTCGGAGAGAAGCTACTGAAACCTAAACTGACTGGAGATGCTGAAAAGGACAAAAGGTACTTTGATTACAAAGATATATAGAAAAAATATTAACCTATTGAAGAGTCAATCAGTGCTAATAAAGTATGCTAAGTTAAGTTCAGGATAATGCATTCACTATAAGTAAAACTAATTAGTTTAGAAAATGCATGATATTATGTAATGCATTCCATTTAAAACTAACTATTTGTTCAAAGCAAAGATAAATAATTCAAATTCTGTTCCAGAAAATGCAACATGGACTAAGTAAATTAGTAAGTACAATACTATATTTTCTAAGGAATTGTTCTATCAGTTATTCATACACTGTATAGTCTAGTGACCAAGGCTAAAAATTGATCAGACTGTGGTAAAAGTAGCAAATTTAGCCCATTGAACATACATTTTGAAATGGGATTCATGGAAAAGCAAGACTATATTCTCATTGATTTTTATAAACTAGTGCCTGGCTTGGGCAACTTAGGTTATTACCCCCTTCAAAATGAGGGTTATGGCTGGTTAGGAAGGAAGTACAGTACTGTAGTACAGTACTTGACATTCTGACAATATAATCATTCTGTAACCTTCTCTTTGGAACTGTTGCTCTACAAGAATCCTATTTCATTTTCTGTGTTTGGTCAGGGAAACCTTGATAAGTTTACCCAAAAATAACAGAAGCAGCTCTGTTAACAATTTAGGTGCAGGTATTGTGCAAATAATTACTGGCAATGCATAAGTTAGGTTGATGAATATGATAACTACACCATCACCAGTTTCATACAAAATTCTGATGCTACTTGCACTTTGTATATTCTGAGATACACAGGTGGCACTCACTTTATGTGACTGCACTATGTGTGTGAAGCCTCTACAGTATTTCTACTATTCTCGCTTCTTCTAGGAAAAGTTCACACTTATAAGCAGGTTGAGTTGGATATTCAATATGGTCACCACAATATTAAAGTGCCAACTTCAAATTTTAGGAATGAGAATTACGGTAGCCATTAAAATTTACATTTTAATTGGATTTGGTGGACACACGGAAAATTTTTAATGTTTCAAAATTTCAGGGTGAATTCAAAAGAATTACTTTACCAACTAACTTTTTGTACTTGAATATATTGGTGTAGTTACCAAAATCTTCTTACTATGTGACTTTAAAACTGAGATGCTTGATATATTGTATAATGCTTGACCATGGTTACCATCTTAAAAAAGTATGATGCACAATGGATCTTTGCTTTTATTTTTTATTTTTATTTTATTTATTTATTTGAAAGTATAATTTTTGCCACTTATCAGTTCACTAGCTGTTTGGGTGCTCTATCCAACTGTTAGTACAGGAGAAAACCTGTGATGTTTGGTAAGGTGACAGTGGATAACACCCTTCTCACGTGTGTTTAGGCCGAGGCTCGAACCCTTGACATATTGGTGAGAGTTACGTGCGTCACCACTGAACCACTTACACCCCCAGTTAATGTGAACAAATTTACTAAATTTAGTGGTTTTATCACTATCTTAACAATTATTATAGCTTCAGGCTGGCCTAATATCTATCATTATTTTTAATATCATAAATATTATTTCTGTTAGTCAGATATAATAAGTTTCTACATATAAAACATGTTTAATCAACTGGCCAAGTCGAACTATAGGCCTATCTAAAACCACACCAACATTCATTACTTATGAATTTTTCAAAAGCACTAAAATAGTTAAACAGAGAATAAAGTAAAGAAGAACAAGCACACAAAGCTCACCACCACCACCACCACCACCCCAAAGCTTTAATGTGTCATTATCTGTTTAAGGCAGACCTTTCCAGCATTATTGTGCAGACTAGCAACATTCAGGAAATATTTTACCATATCCTCAGTGCAAACACCTATTTTTTGAGCTCTAGTTTCAGATAATTATGACAACTATTAGTTTAAGCATACTCTTAGTAACTTTTACAATAATTACTTTTTAATTAGATCATGACATCGTCATAACATACATTAGTACAAGTAATTCACAAATGCAAATCATCAATAATTAGTGTATTAAATCAGCCTTATATATTACTGCCACAAAGACGCAACAGTTTTACCCTTCATAAGCGTTGGTCTTCAGTTCCATTGATTACAGAATAAACCAAATATTTCCTATAAAAAGAAGATACAATAAGAGAGAAATTCAGAATAGATTGTCTTCTTACCACTACTCCACGTCTAAAGCAGCGTGGAAAAGCAATTAAACAAACCATCAAAATACACTGAGTAATATTATATAGTGACATGATTGCCATCATCCTATGAAAATAGAAGGAAATACAACTTGTGGAAAATATTCATAACCAAATTTAGGGAATTATTTTTAATTTAAAGTACAGGTACTGTATTGTCACATTTAACACAGGATCAAAGATGCCAGTTTTTTTTACTTCAGTACTGTATATATAAAGGTGTAGTGTTTACTGTGTATGGTAATGTATGTGTATGTAAAACCTGAGTGACTGGTACAGTGCTATTTTAACATTACCCATTTTGACTAAACACAGGAATTACCAAATGTGATTTAAATAACCCACAATGGTATTGATTGAAACTGTGATCATAGGTTAATTACATGACTCATAAAGGTAGGACATGTATTGAAGCCCTTGATTGACTGTCTAATAATATATGAGAGGATCAGAAAGCATGTGAAGGATAAAAAGTATTTAAAGGATTGTGATGACCGGAGTACACCACCGCCATGTGTTTGCAAGCCTTAAAATAAAAACGAGATGTTTACGAGTCCAAATGTAAGGACACATAAAAATGACTTTCAGGAGAGAACGAAGCATAGGAGGCGGGTGATCTGAGAGTTGGCTGGCAAATATCATCAAGGGTAGGAATTTAAGTTTAGAGGTAAAGAAGGAACTCAGAAATAGTATTGTGTTTCCTAACTTAATTTATAGCAGCAAAACACGGACTTGGAATAGAGATGAATGCTATAAATTTAAGCCACAGAGATTCATTACTCGAGAGCTGCATGTGGGTTAACCAGAATGGAATGGAAAGAATTAATGAAGTGTATGGGGTGTTTGGAATACCAGAGAAGGCAAAGGTGAATATTGTACTGTGGAGTGGTGGAATAGTTAATGTGTGGCTCATTGATATAGTTTGAACATGTGAGAATGATGCACAGGGTGACGACTGTGTGTGTGTTGAGGCAATCTAGCAGGTGCACTGGGTAGAGGGATACATAGAAAAAAACGGTATTTTTTTTATGAATACAAAGGCAAAGCTTTCATTCTGAAACTCTCAGAAAATCCATTTCATGAATTTTTTTTTTATAGTTCTTAAATATTTTTATTGTTCTATCAACATACTTGAATGTTATTAACTACTGTACTGTATACATTTAAATGGTTGAGAATTAGGTCTTGTGTATGTAGGTTTTCTGTAGTACAGTACCACTGAAGTTTGAGCAAATGTTAGCATCTCAAAGAATGTGAGCACTGTACCTAAAAATGGAAATATGTTTTGTATTTCAATGTCACAAGTTAAATATATATCTGGATGTTTAAAATTCAAAAATAAAAAATAATAATGAATTTGGTACTTAAATTTAAAAACAATAACAGAAATACAGTATCTTCACTATCACTGACGGAAGGGCTTAACACATAAAAAGTTAACTCTGTGCCCAGGTGTAACACAAACAATATTATAAGAAGCACTGATGTAATGAATGTTATAGCCAAGTCATTTTGAACTGACATAGCAAAAGCTGTTTATTAATGTGCTGTGAATTCCCTGTAATTTACTCTGCCTATAAGACACTGATGCAATATAAAGGCTATCTCTTATAGATGCATTATATAAAGTGCTGGAGTGATTATACAGACACCATAAAGCTGGCTTAGAAGAGCTGTGTGCTGAGGTGAAACTATTTAAGGCTAAAGTACTGAAGGTCATTTGCATCAGAAGAGTACTGCATAAGATACTATACTAATTCAATAACAATATTATATCTTACAATGTATCTATTCTACTGCCTCGTTGCACTAAATTACTCAATATCTTATCTACTCTAAAGTTATACACATGTATTTGCATTATGGTTAACATTTATACATTTTTTATTTTACTGGTTTCTGTCCCAACTCAAAATGAATACCACCAAACCTATATATATATTAATTTCCTTATGAATAATAAACCCAATTAATGATTTATATTTTACTTCTCAGTTTCTCCTCACCTACCCAAAATTTCCAATTATTTCCTTTATTCTTCCACAGCTATCTTATACACTGCACTGCATTTCGTATTCTTCTGTACACTATCTTATTACAGATAATTCCTGAGCCACACCTTACTATAATATCATAAACTTTCATACATAATAAAGCTTTAAAAACCCATTATCTTTTCATAGCCTGTGGAGAAGTGGTCATCAAGAGGCTGCCCAGGTATCTCCGAGCCCAATACAGTACAAATTTCTAATAAAATTATCCAAAAACTTCTGAGGAAAATTCCATCCTAAATTTGTTATCATATTACCTAATCTAATCCTGCAAGACTAATCAGAAATATCTAATGCCATCTCTTCTATTTAAAATAATTCTGTTTCTTTTAAAATTATCAGAGTATTTAGTCCATTCTAATAAAAAAACTACCCGCACCCTAACATTGCTCTTAGATCAGCTCAGACAATCTCACATGACTAACCCTACACCCAGAGATCAGTTATCCCATCTTCTTCATTAGTTAGCTTTACCTGATCCATCCGCAAGCATGGAGTGCGGTGCCCGGCTATCCAGGAGATTCTCGGAGGATCCTACCGATAGCTGCATGTGTGGTTGCTGGAACAATAATGCGTTGAACTCGTCATCAAAAAACTCCTCCTCAACCTGGAATAAGGAGGTCTTGCATGAGGTTCAAGGTATAAATACATATGGAAAATAATTTATCATGGTAGGATCTTGCTTGGAAAAAATGTAGTTTCCTCTTATATCCCAATTCCATGTTATCAATTTGTACTTCTGATATTAATTATACATGACACCTGGAAGGCCATTTTGAATTTTCAATGAATTTATATTTCAAAACTGTACCGTCATTCTTGTTTTACTTTCTTGAACTACATGTACAGTACTGTATTAAGCTTATACAGTTATTGTCAGTCATAAAATATATTCTAATAACACAAATAATACAAAAGCAAGTGATACTCTATACTTTTTTAAATATACTACTGTATAAAGTACAGCAATGGTTGCCCCTCGTGTAACGAGGATGGCCTGCCCAAGGGCCACCTAGGCGTGAATTTGTTTAAGGTGTAGAAGCTGTCACCAACACAATAACCACACCCTAAGTTAACGAGTTGCATGACCCAGTGTCAAGGAACAGTCCGAGAAGACCGGACAACTTGCCAACTGCACTAGCTAGCCATTACCCCTGAACACAATCAGCAAATTGATTAATATCCAGGTTCCCAATTACTGCTGGGTAGACAGAGGCAAATGGCATAAAGAAACTTGCCCATAGTTTCACCCTGCCCGGGGATCGCACCCGGGTCCTCTCGCTTGCGAGGCGAGCATGCTTACCATTATACCACAGTTTGTATAAGTGAATGACAAGGTTATACTTTTTTCTTATCAATACTTCACAGGTTTAGTTTATTCAATTTCTGACCATTAGTACAACAAAAGATCCTAACAGTTTAACATTTAATAGGATACAGCAATAAAAATCAGTTTCAGGTACAAACCTCCACCTCTTGTCGGCGTTTGCTCTTGCGAGGTCGTGTTCTTTGGCCCTCCGAGTGTCGTCGTGTCTGTATCTTAACGGCTGAATCCCCAAGTCCAGCTGAAGTGCCGCTAATGCTGTTCCATCGTCGCCCTACACCTGCCTGCTACAGAATGGATATGAGAGTAATGATTCTAGTCACTTTATCTAAATGTTAATGGGCAATGACTTGAGTTGTTGGTCTTTATACATACCCATGTCCCTGTCTCCCTGAATAGTTATCAAGTCTCTTACTAACTAAAAGACTTCAAGAAATATCTGTTGTGTCTTTTATCAACTAAATTTCAAGTTATTGTTGTTATACCTCTAATATTCATGTTGTGGATATTAAATATATTTGTGTTAAATCCAATGACACATACAAATTACTTCACACACACACACACACATATCCACACTACTAGAAAAGTTCAACTAATTTATGAATACTGAACTGTATTGTACTCAAATGAGTTCTACCTTAGTGCCTCCACTGGTAGGAGAGCGAGATGGTGAGCCCTGATTGGACGATGGTCTAACACATGGACCAATAGTATTGCTATGCTGCCAGGATGTAGAGGAGCTGCCACTGTAGTGTGTGGGGCTGGATGGACCACTGGCTAATGAGCAAGAGGATGAATGGCGGGTCAGCTGGTGACTGGCTGGCTTAATACCAGTGATCTCCTCCCATCCACTATTCACCTCCTTTTTACTACTTCTGAAAATGTAAATTTGTTTTAATAATTCCCAGTACAGTACTGTAAGCTCGCTGGCACATATATTTGAGAGAAGCTTGTTTCTCACAAAACAGAGGTCTTAGCAGTAAATACCTGGCAGAGTGTGCTGGACTCTTAGGAGCAGAGCGGGATCTTCGTGTACGGGCCTGCTGTTCTTGCTGGGGTTCATTCATATCATCCTTACTGGAGGAGGAGTCTGAGACTTGTGATAACTTTCTAAGAGTGAGAGTAATCTGACTGACGGTACGAACGGGCCGCCGTCCGCTGATGTCACTACTGGCACTGGATGAAGCACTGGTCAGGGACACATGGGAAGTAGTCCTTGTGACACTGGTGCTGGTGGCAAGGCTTGGTGAGTTGATGTTAGTCATGCTCAGTCCACGACGGACCACCTCATTTCTTCGGAGGACGTCTGTCACTTGACTCTGGACGTCATTTCGATCAAGTCTGGAGGCACTTGAGGGACGTTCTGGCATTGTGGGAGATCCTTCATCGCCTCCATCACTCTCTATTAAAAAGGCTCTCTTGGCTGCATTAGAGATGTATCCATAGCCAGACGCTTGTTCTTCATCTGTTGGGGAACTTGTACGAGAGTGGTCAGAATCTGTGACTGGCATGATGGGAGACAGCAGAGGTGGAACAGATGTTGATGTAGAGTTTCTATGGAATACCTGTCCTTCCTGGTTCCTACACCCTCCTTTACCACACTCTAAATGCCCTCGGGAAAGTATGTCAGGGGTCTGTCCATTTTTTAGTGACTTAATGTTGACTTTGTTAGGAAGAAGGTCTGGTTGGAGATCCACTCGTAACACTGATGTAGTTGGTGGTCGAGCAGGAGTTGATGTTATAAATGATGGATTAATTCTGGAAGAAAAGTTTTCATTGTACAACCACAACTAGAAAGATGGTCATCAGAGCACAAACACACACACCCAGTATGGAACTCTGACCTTTATTTTATACTAACCTAAAATTCAATGGTTTCTTTGCTGGCTAATACCCTGTACACATTTTTGTGATACTGGTACTCAGTCTATCCAGTTTTTCACCTGTACAGATGGAAGCTCAATTTAATTTGTGACATTAATATCTGAGCTACATCCTCCAAAGATCATTTCATCCAAAGGGAATATGCAACCCATATGTAGAATTTCATCAAAATAGGTAATATTTTCTTTTTATTCCTACTACATAATGGAGACTAGTTCATATACACTTTATGGTAAAATATGCTATACAGTTAACCCTCACTTTACGCGGTTAATGTAACCCGGAGGGTACCGCGGAAAGCGAGAAACGCGTAAAGTGAATAACATAACATATGGGATTAATTGAAATGGAGTCCAGGCCGATCCCCAAACTCCACTTTTTGACGACACATAACTATGTTGTAGTAAAAATAACATCTTAATTTTATGATGGTACATGCACACAATTAATACTTAAGAGAAATAGAGAAATACAGTCGCCAAGTTAATGTCCATTCAAATAATGAACACGACTCCCTCCCCCTCTTCTCACACTACACTGCTGGCTCTTCCCTCTGAGAAATTTTGGGGGGAAAACCAGGTATAGTAATAAATAATACCTCAAACTAAAGTTAGGATAATATAATTGACATTGCTGGATTCCTTGTAAGACCAGGAATATTTTGAATATAAATGTCATATATTTTTCACAAAAGATAACATATTTACTCAGATTAAACATTACATCTAAAATTTGTATGTCTAATGCAAAATCTATGATGTTTATATTCAAAATGATCATCAAATTGTAAGAATTCCAGCAATGTAAATTATATTCTGGCCGGGTAATTTGTATGAATTTTATGAGCTAAAACAAATATCTTCAGTTAATAAAAAAAAAAAATATTCTTCACGACACTATCTGTCAATCAAAGTACCCCACCTTGCCTCCCCCCCTCTTCCAACCGCGCGGTCAGTCCCAACCCTCCCCCCCACCCCCCACCAATCCTCCCTTCAAGAGAAAGAGTGGGTGAAAAAAATAAATTTTAACATTTTGTATTAAATAATACCTCAGATTAAAGTTAGGATAATATAATTGACATTGCTGGATTCCTTGTAAGACCAGGAATATTTTGAATATAAACGTCATATATTTTGCACAAAAGATAACATACTTACTCAGAGTGAACATTATATCTAAAAATTTTATGTCTAATGCAAAATATATGATGTTTATATTCAAAATGATCATCAAATTGTAAGAATTCCAGCAATGTAAATTATATTCTGGCCGGGTAATTTGTATGAATTTTATGAGCTAAATTAAAAAAATTATACTTCACCCGTGTAAAGGGGTACACCCACCGCGGAATGTGAGCATCCTGGGTTCTGGCAGGGCACCGCGTAAACGTGGAAACGCGGAATGTGGGACCGCGTAAAGTGAGGGTTGACTGTATTTCATTAAGATGTACTGTATACTGTAAAATACATGTGACTGAGAATACTGTACTCACTTGGCACTGGTTATGGTGTCCAAGGTAGGGCTCGGTGTGCGGGTACATGGTGTTGAGAATCCACTATCCACGCTAGTTACCATTCCTTTGGCATTTCCTGGCACACCAGGCACCACCCTGGGCATACCGCCATCTGTCTTATCCTCTAGTGTAACATTAGGAGACTTTTGTAGCCCTTCAGCGTGTCGTTCAGGAGGTGAACGTGCAGGACGACCAGATGCAGTGGAAGATTTACTGTGGTGCACCTCGCTGGATACCACCATCTGTGTGGCTGAACTGGAATCTTTTCTCGAACCTTTTGTTCTCATCAGTTTGTTATTATAGTCACTAGAGATTTCTGGATGGCTTGAAAGAGACCCAGAACTATATTTCCGGTTGTTATAAGACTCGCTTGAAGAGTTCTGATTACTGACAGATGGTTTTCTTTTTGAGAGAGGAGAGGTGTTGGCTGAGGTCTGTGATGTGTGTCTGCCAATAACTGGTGTGTTGGGTATGGATGGTGGACCCCATGCTGGAACAGCTGGCACACGATCCTCCTCATTGGACTGAATCTGTTGTAAGAGAAGAATAGAGAACTACTGTATTAACTGTAAAGTGAAAAATTAATCCTAAACTTTCTTATAAACTACAGAATTAATAACATGTGTAGAGAGTATAATAATTCTTAACACAAAAAATAGAAAAGAAGAACAAACTCCAGTAACAGGTGCATTAATTCATAAACAGATAATTCTAAACATTAGTACAGTAAAGTACAATACATGGAATGAAAATAGAACCAAGAAGCTAAATTAAAAATATCAGTTCTAACCATTTAAAACTTTATCTGAAAATACACTAAAAAATTATAGAGGCCATAGAATTAATGAAAATGGTGAAACTAATCACCTATAATGGACAACATAATTTACAATATTCCATTCAGTATGTGTAGAGCCCCAAGTTATGATCCTGACTATTTCCATGGCACCAAGATGTACAACAGACCTTATCCATCACTTTATATGAAAGATTTATCACAAATCTATTGTTAGTGTTCTTGAGAAATGAAAATAAAGTTATCTGCTACAATTGGAATGACATTTCTGGATCCTACAACAAAAAATTATACCCAGTATACACAATCACAACTACAGTATTGACTAATCCATCTCATCTAGGAGTTGCCTCCCAACAAATTATGGGAATAATCATTAACTCCACCAGCACAACTTGGTCAGCACAGACTAAGCAAGACAAAGAACTTTCTTACATATTGAATGAATCAGTCACTCATCATATTCATATAGATGGGTGATGCAGCAAAAAAATGACACTCACCCTAAGTGACCGTAGCATTGTGTGGATCTCCTGAAGGTCAAGTTCCCTCTCGTGAGAGTTCCACTTGAGACCGTACTGAGTGAGGTAAGTGACAAGGGAAGGTGAAACTCCACTCACAGCAGGCAAAGTCTCGCCAGCACCCACCCTGTGCAACACCTCTGCTTCTTCCACACCGGACCATGGAGGCATTCCTGGTGGTACACAAAACATGATTAATTTCTAGTGTTTAGCAAATACTGTACTGAAGTTTTGAAGTATAGTTTTAAGGGTTTTATAAATATCTAAATAATGTATCAGAGACACCTGAGGGCTATATCACACTACAACTACATACAGGGAAAAATGGTGTGGTAAATTAACTCTGCATGGGGAGTGTATCTTAAAAAGTACTAACTCCCTAGGAATATTTTAGGGACTCTACTCCAAGAATTAGGTTAGGATGGAGTATACAGTATTATAATTGTAGGCTATTTCATCCGCAACCTCTTCATCCATCTAGAATTGGAAATTATAATTGACTGTAATCCGAACTTGTCTAAAATAAATAAATTACATTGTTATACAGTACATACTAATCTAATATTCTTCATTACTTTGATATTTATTATTTGAATCAAAATGGTTATCCTTGGCCTATAACTAATTATGAAAGTATGAATGAAGAATACTATACTTGAATCAAATTTAAACGTGCTGAAAAAACAAGATGGGGTCATTTAATATGGTCTCTTGGTGATAAGGCTGTTCATCAGTTCAAGCAATAAGTTTACAGAAAGTTGAAAAACACAAGTTAATTAATTCTGGTAACAATCAACTTCAGCTCTCATAAATGGACCAAATATTGTGACTTTCGTGAAAATAGTAAGTGGCCATGATATCTCCTCACCTGACCAGATTTCCCACATTATAGCCGTGAAGGAATAGATCTCTGAGCGTGTGGACACCATCTGCTCACTGAGAGTCTCCGGAGCCTGCCAGGGATGGAGCCATGTAGCTCGGAGAAGTTCTGGAGCCTTCATACTGCAACCCTATAAAACAAAAATAAAAAAGGTTATACTGTATATTAAAGTCTAGAGACCTATTCCAGAGACCTATTTTTATGCCTAACAAATTTTCAGAGGCCTATATAAAGAGCTTTTAAACCATCAGGGATCTATTTAAAATACTTTCAACCCACTGAGACTTTAATCTAAGTGGTTTTCAGTCTTAAAATTTATATAAAGAGTAATGGTAATCAATGGATAATTATGATTTAGTTTATGAATACTGTAGTGTACAGTATTCAGTTTATGATAGGGGTGTCATAAATCAAGGTGTACCTGTATACTGTACTTGTATCACATTTTTCTTTATATTCAGCATGGTAGGCTACACCACTGGACCAGCCAGTAGTTAAATACAGATGTCTTATTGGCTAACAATATCACTCTGCATTACAGAACTGTACTCTGCTTTCAGCTGAATTTTCTTTACCAGATTATTTTTTTTACTAAATATGATTATTATTAACGTACACAAAGCAGTACAATAACAACAAACTTAGTTAATATTTAAGTCTTTAGGAACTTTACCATAATGTCTTAGAATAAAAAATATAAAAACCATGCGACTTCAATACATGAACAAGGATTACCTCCGCTGGTATAATACAGCTTACCAAAACAAAAGGCATAAAATTGTATAGCACAGATTAAGATTCAAATGTATATCATATTTCAACATTTGTCTCAATGGGAACTAAGAAAACTTACCTTGCCGTGCATCTCTAGAGCAAACTCAAACCCTCCAAGCTTGGCATGGTTCATAGAAACTAGATGGAGGGCATGTGAGGAGAGGGCGGTGTGGAGCCAATTATGAGCATGAAGGAAGAGCAGAGCCTCCACCACACCCACCAGGATGTCCACAGCCCCACCCACACTCAGGTCTCGGTGCTGCGGGTAAGACAGTTCTCAAGAGTTCAAAAACAAAAATTTCTAATGCATGACATGTGAACCAAATCAGCTGCATGATATGGCCTGTGCCTCCTGTGTAATGACAACAACTTAGGGAATTGCTAGGAGTATAATGGTTACTAATATCCCTCCCTTATTATAAATATATTACTGTACATAAAAAAGTAAAACAAAAGAAATATTATATATTTCAAAGTCACACATTTCTATGATAAAAATAAAAGTAGGAAGCTAACCCACATGGTACTAAATAACTTAGAAATAACTATGAGAATAATGAAGAAAGAATCTTTAATCTGGACTTTCAATAACAACAAAACATTAACAAGAGCCTTGGTCTTACCTGGACGTGCAGATGATGGTAGAGGGAGCCATGGGGTACATGTTGGAAGACGAGGGTGATGTGGTCTGGGTACGGAGATGTCACGTGACACGCAGCCATCACCTCCAGAAAAGCTGGATGACGGAGGCGACGAAGAACTGACAGCTCCTGCACTAAGGAATTGCAAGCACCTTGATCCAGGGAGCTCTTATCTTCACCTGAAGGATAACATGAATGTTTATGACTAAGAACTGCTAGCTAATATGTGGTATACATTATATTTCAAGTACTGTACTGTACCTGATGTTGGATTATATTTACTGTACCTGATATATTGGTTGTATTTAATGTACCTGTCTAAATCATTAACTAAATATTAAGAACACTTTAATATCCGAATATATGGCCACAAACCCAAATAAAAATTAATAGCAGACATACCTTTAAGAGCATTTTCCTTGGGGAGAGAGAGTGCGGGAGTGGGCCTGCGGACAGTGACGTTAGTGCCCAGCCATGTGTAGGGGGAGTACACGGTGGGTCCACCACACCTGAGACACGGGGACAACTTTAGTAAACTCAAACATTAGTACAGTACTGTAGACAAAGATACAACCTACACTTAGCATTAGCTGTTCAAGACTTAGTTCATTAATACTTGTAAGTTCCTCAGGATCAATTTTAGTTCTTCTACTCACCTGCACCGATTCACCCAGTTGACACTTATCTGATCAATGCAGGAGTGAATCCAGGAAAATCAAAAGGGAGGGATCCAAAAACTTGTGGGTGGGGGAACATGGCGAGCCCACCCAATATAACGGGCATTTTGAAGCTATGTGCACTTGATATTAAGAGATATTCTGAGGTCAATAGCAATTACGTTTTACAGTGATCCCTCGGTTAACGAGCGCCTCGGTTAAAGAGATTTCGGTTAACGATTTACCTTCCATAAGATTCTTAACTTCGGTTAACGAGCAATCCCTCGATTAACGAGTTTTTTACAAGCCGACCTCAACATGTTTTCACTTGCATTTGGCGGTCCACCAGCTGTAGTATTAGTCCGCCAATACAGTAATCGGTTTTAGGGCTTAAATTCCTTACTATTTTAGTAAATATCAAGAAGTTTATACCATTCAATAATTTTAAAAGTTTAATATCAACATTTTTTAGTCATTTTAACAATTATTGAACATAATTGAAGGTAAAGAAACTAGTTTCTGGCGTGCCATCCAGCCTGTTAACACACAAACAGGCATTAGTCTCTCTCTCTTTTCAGTGGAAGTAACATATTGCTTGAGACTCTCTTCAACTAAACGCTTTTTTCTGTGTTTCCAAGCAAATTATTGGTCATTTTGAAATTTATTTTACATATTGACAAGAGAACTAAAATTTTATGGGTGAAATAGCACCATGGGGTGACTTCTCTTCCACCCCAATGCCTTCTCTTCTCCCTTCTCCTCCACCCCCATTCTAATTCCCATCATCATCATCATCCAGGAGCCTTCTACATACACACCTCAAAGTAAGTGTACTTTTCTACCCTTTTTGTTGAATTTAGTCAATTTTCGGTGAGCTGGAACCAATTACCCAAAAACCCATTGAAACAGTGGTTTCGGTTAACGAGTTTTTCGGTTAACGAGCAACCTGCTGGAACGGATTGTGCTCGTTAACCGAGGGACCACTGTACTATATAAAAATCCCTGAGTACAATACTACATTACAGAAAAAGTATTGTAATTTTCTGATGAAAGGGTGGGGTCCGGACCCCCAGGACCCTCTCCCTGGATCCGCCCCATGCAATGTTCACATTTTCTTACTCAACTCAAACATGATTTACAGTTTATACTTACATAAAAAGTGATAAGTATTTGCTTTACTTCTACTCCTCACTGGATAATATACCTCTCTCATTTGTTATTTGCTCTATTTAGACGCTTTCATAGATCACCGACAATAACCATTCAAAAACAGTGTCATTCATTTTTTTAGCCCACCACCTCCTTACATTCTTATTCTCCTACCTATATATAAGAATGTATTTTAGAGCCCAGTCTTGTACATGAACTGAATATAAAGAACACTTAAATATCTGCATCTGTTAGAATACCTGAAGTCATCTTCATTAATGTAACATGGCCCCGATATCATCTGATTAATAAACACATTGTTTAATAATAAGACTCACGTATAAGCAATGCCAGTGACCTCAGGACGTTTGAGGTCAGGTGGAGTAAGGAGGGGCAAGGACGTTGACACATACATCTGGTCCAGCAAGTGGCATGACACGGTCTGTAACAACAATAAATTATTATAACACAGGGAAACAAATTCTGACAATATGTTGTATTTATGTCTTTCAATATGGTCATTCTGAATCAAAAGCATTGTACACTCAAATGCACTGCAGATGTTACGATAACAGCCCTGTTAGATTCAACCTACAAGATATATAACAACACACACACACACACACACACACACACACACACACACACACACACACACACACACACACACACACACACACACACACACACACACACACACACACACACACACACACACACACACACACACACACACACACACACACACACACACACACACACACACACACACACACACACACACACACACACACACACACACACACACACACACACACACACACACACACACACACACACACACACACACACACACACACACACACACACACACACACACACACACACACACACACACACACACACACACACACACACACACACACACACACACACACACACACACACACACACACACACACACACACACACACACACACACACACACACACACACACACACACACACACACACACACACACACACACACACACACACACACACACACACACACACACACACACACACACACACACACACACACACACACACACACACACACACACACACACACACACACACACACACACACACACACACACACACACACACACACACACACACACACACACACACACACACACACACACACACACACACACACACACACACACACACACACACACACACACACACACACACACACACACACACACACACACACACACACACACACACACACACACACACACACACACACACACACACACAACACACACACACACACACACACACACACACACACACACACACACACACACACACACACACACACACACACACACACACACACACACACACACACACACACACACACGTATATAGAACATCTGGACGACGGTGGGAGCATTCTAGTCGAGGCCTCTTGTTATTTACAATTTTAAATTTAAACATAAATGCAGGTAATGTTTGTATTTACAGGTGTAGTGTGCTGGTATCAGTATTATGTCACAGTAGATGATTCAGTTATACCTTACATGGACTCTACTAGAAGCTATGACTCTTTTACGTGTAAATTCCTTGAATATATTAATGCGCGAATTATTTCCACCTAAAATATATGAAGCAGATAATCCTGATAAATGACTCACCCAACAAAGGATTAAGGTTGAATATAGCTGAATAAATTATTAGTCACAGTGTTGTAATTATATCCGACCTTGCAAGTGTTCATCCACAAAAGAAAATCTCTCACATAATTCAATGCTTGTTTTTATCAAGATTACTGTACTGTACAACCATACATAATAACTTCGGTGACCTGACATTTCTTCCTTTGAACATACTTAACTTGGTGTGACCTTATTTTCATATCATTGTCACGGGCGAGTTTGAGGATCATGTGAAGATTAGGCACCCCAACTTATTTCACCTGATGATCAAGCACCCTAACAATACCTTGAGGGGTTACGTTATACTTTTACTTTTATCCTCTTCAACACTGATCGGCTCGTTAGCCGCTTGGGCGATCGGTCATGTCCCTGTTATGCACTGTTGGCAAGTACTGGGCATGCACTGGCTCCTGAAATTGCTTGAACCTACTCCATTGTTGGTCAAGTCTGGTCTTGAAAGAGCTCACACTCGGTGCCGTCACAACACTTTCTGGCAGTTTGTTCCAAGAGTTCACAACTCTCACTCCGAAAAAGTTTGCCCTCACAGCTTTCTGGACCTGCGGCTTTTTCAGCCTTGAGCTGTGACCCCTTGTGGGGCGAGCGTCTGCCAGCTCCAGGTAAGGATACTCGACTGAGTAGTGCCCCTTGAGATGCTTATACACCTCAATTAGGTCACCCCTTGTCCGTCTGTAGTATAAGCTAGACAAGTTCAGGCGCTCCAATCTCTCAGGGTAGCTGAGGAGCCGAAGTGCAGGCACCAGGCTGGTGGCCCTCCTTTGAACATTTTCAACCAACTGACAGTCCCTAGCATATCTCGGGGACCAGACGGGGTGACAGTACTCCAGATGGGGAAGCACTTCACTCTTGAAGATCGTTACGAGGGAAGGACCGTCTAGATATCTGAACGACCTTCTTATAAGACTCATTAATTTATTTGCCTGATTTACCTTCTTCTCGCAATGGCCCCGAGAACTACAGCTCATTGTCAACATACACACCTAGGTCCTTCTCACATTCAGTCTCAAATAGTGCAGTTTCTTCATCCCGTTGGAACATATCATACGTCTCTTTACCGTTGGTACGCCCCAGGTGCATCCTCTTACACTTCGTGACAGGCATGCTATTTATGAAACAAACAAACAACAGCGGGCCCAATGCACTGCCCTGTGGTACCCCGCTCATGACAGGTGCAGATGATGATTTAGTGCCATTAACCACCACACACTGCTTGCGGTCACGTAGAAAGTCTTCTATCAACGCTAGGACATTTCCCCGAATTCCATACCCTTCCAGTTTGATTTACAGCCTTTCATGGGGTACACTGTGTTAAGGTGTTTAATCATCAGGTGAAATAAGATGGATTGCCTTATTCTCACGTAATCCGATTTTCGTCACAATACGCTGCTGATTTCTGGGCATATTCCAATCTAGTTAACTTTTGATGACTCTTTCACCTTTATGTGGCCTCAGTAACCACACCTATCATGTTAATCTACGGGAAATTATGTGACCTTCGTGACCTCCCTGAGTGCCATGATATAATCCTACCTGGCTACTGGTGCTCCTCAAAGCCACCCCCCCCCCTTTATTAAGCATTTGTGACTTACTGACCTTGTGAGGGTTGGTGGGGGGCAGGGAGGAGAGGATGGTGACCTTACTGACCTTGTGGAGGACAGGGAGGAGGGGATGGTGACTTTAATGACCTTGTAGAGGGTAGAGAGGAGGACAGGTAGGAGAGGATAGTGACCTTTATTGGCCAAGTGAATAACCTTACTAACCTTATGGAGATTGGTGGAGGTGCCCCCCTTGTAAGGTGGGGAGCGGGGAGATGTACTATCCCCCTCGGTGATACAAGCGCCCCACACACTCGCTAAACTTCCCTGCCGTCTGTGGGAGGGAAAAAAAAAACAACACGCTGTAACATAACGACGATCCCAACACACACACACACACACACACACATACACACAACACGATGGAAAAACACAAACACAAACACCGATCGGATAACAATTAAAAAAAAAAAAAACACCGAGGTTATAAACGGCTATCCAATACTCACTCCTGGGAATATTCCAATTAATGTACCACAATGAAGGTATTCCAGAAGTGATACAATCATTCGTCGTGACGGTAATGGTATCGACAAGCTGAGGAACGAGTTGGAATATCGGAAAAAAGACTTAGATTAAATTTCAGAACTTCGTAAATGAGGTGAATAATACAAATAACATATCACAGTATAATGATAAAAGAGGAAGATAAAATGCTACTTATGAGACAGTGTTACGTGAGGGAGTTGCTTCTTACGGAATACCTAGTCTAGTTGTTACTTAATGGACAGTATGTTACGTGAAAGTTGATATTTTATTGAAAAGACTAGGCTAGATATGTTACTTAAAGGTTAGACTATAATATATTTGTTACTTAAGGGCTAATGTTTTATTTAAGGGCTAATATGTTACTTAAGGGCTAGATATGTTACTTAAGGGCAAATATGTTACTTAAAGGTTATATATGCTACTTAAGGGCTGGATATGTTACTTAAAGGCTAGATATGTTACTTAAGGGCTATTTATAATTTCTTAAGGGATAGATATGTTACTTTAGGGCTATTTATAATTACTTAAGGGTTAGTATATTACATGAAGACGTCTTACTTGAGGGCGAGGCTGGTCTTGGAGATAGAACGATTCAGGGTAGGGTGAGGCAGGGTAACGTTGGTGGTGGTAGCAGTACGAGCCAAGGAACGGTGTAACGTCATTGCCAGAAGCAGATCCAGGAAGTTAATAATCTTTTGACGACGTATGGGCGATGGTTGCTTTAGTGCGTAGTCCCTGCAATAAGGTGGAGGAATTAGTGTGTAGTCCCTGTAATAAGGTGGAGGAATTAGTGTGTAGTCCCTGCAATAAGGTGGAGGAATTAGTGTGTAGTCCCTGCAATAAGGTGGAGGAATTAGTGTGTAGTCCCTGCAATAAGGTGAAGGAATTAGTGTGTAGTCCCTGTAATAAGGTGGAGGAATTAGTGTGTAGTCCCTGCAATAAGGTGGAGGAATTAGTGTGTAGTCTCTGTAATAAGGTGGAGGAATTAGTGTGTAGTCCCTGCAATAAGGTGAAGGAATTAGTGTGTAGTCCCTGTAATAAGGTGGAGGAATTAGTGTGTAGTCCCTGCAATAAGGTGAAGGAATTAGTGTGTAGTCTCTGTAATAAGGTGGAGGAATTAGTGTGTAGTCTCTGTAATAAGGTGGAGGAATTAGTGTGTAGTCCCTGCAATAAGGTGAAGGAATTAGTGTGTAGTCCCTGTAATAAGGTGGCGGAATTAGCGTGTAGTCTCTGTAATAAGGTGGAGGAATTAGTGAGTAGTCCCTGTAATAAGGTGGCGGAATTAGCGTGTAGTCTCTGTAATAAGGTGAAGGAATTAGTGTGTAGTCCCTGTAATAAGGTGGAGGAATTAGTGTGTAGTCTCTGTAATAAGGTGGAGGAATTAGTGTGTAGTCCCTGCAATAAGGTGGCGGAATTAGTGTGTAGTCCCTGTAATAAGGTGGAGGAATTAGTGTGTAGTCTCTGTAATAAGGTGGAGGAATTAGTGTGTAGTCCCTGTAATAAGGTGGCGGAATTAGCGTGTAGTCTCTGTAATAAGGTGGAGGAGGTGAGGGGTGGAGGTGAGGGGGTAAGGTGGGGGTGAGAGGTGAGGGGGTAAGGTGGGGGTGAGAGGTGAGGGGGTAAGGTGGGGGTGAGAGGTGAGGGGTAGTGAGTTCTTGTTGACGCTTGTTTACGCTCAGGTGATCAATGTTTTTATTTATACCCATACGATAAAGACTCTCTCTCTCTCTCTCTCTCTCTCTCTCTCTCTCTCTCTCAAGGGAAGGAGGGGGGGTAAGGTACTGCCACCATCATTCATACCCCTTGTTATTACTCTTCTAAGTTCCTGAAGCGTAACTTGATTTGGTCTACGCCCCGATGCACTTGTTCCCGCCAGACCACAACGCCAGGAGGGAGAGGAAGTTCCCTGTGGGTGCCGCTGGGTTAAAGGTCTCCCAGTTAGTGCTTCATACGGTTAAAGGTCTTCCAGTTAGTGCCTCATACGGTTAAAGGTCTTCCAGTTAGTGCTTCATACGGTTAAAGGTCTCAGTTAGTGCCTCATATTCCGCGGGTGTGGAGGTTGTCCCTGAATTTCAATGTTATTATTTATTATTATTATTATTATTATTTGTGTGTCCCGCGGCTCTGTACTGTATGTTGGTTCATTGGCCCGCGCATACATTCATACATACATACATACATACATACATACATACATACATAACTATAAATGACTCAATATAAACACAGGTAGGTATACACTCTGCCACTGAGCATGTGTGTGTGTGTGTGTGTGTGTGTGTGTGTGTGTGTGTGTGTGTGTGTGTATCTTCATGTATATTTATGTGTCTGTGTGGCCTTTAGATTGTGTGTACGCATGTAGGTGATTGCATGCCGTGAGTATGCATGTACATATGTGTGTGTCTGTGTGTGTGTGTGTGTGTGTGTGTGTGAGAGCGCGCATGGGTGTACCTCGCTCAGTAAACCTTGGTAAAAAGTTGTATCAGATTACAGGTATTGGCTTATTGCTCTCTCTCCATTGATCTATCTATCGATCTATCTTTCTCATTGTCATCTTCTATATCAATGGTCTCTCTCTCTCTCTCTCTCTCTCTCTCTCTCACCTGCGGTTCACAGTGACACAGGTACACCAAATAGTGAAAGGGAGAAGAATAATCACAATAATTCCTCGAGACTTCGCCCTTGTGTGTGCCTTGACCACCTTAGCCTGTGGGTTACGCCTCTCTGCCCCCGATAATGTATACCGTCGTCAGAAGCTTTGGAGGGTCACTCACTAACTCACTCACTCACTCACTCACTCACTAACTCACTCACTCCTATATGATGTTAAGTGAACGTATCTAGTTAAGTAAGAGTCTCAGTGTAATATTTCTGGACCAGTTACGTGTATTCTCAAAATTTGACTTACGAGGAACATTCACCTTACGAAACTCTATGACCCTGGACTCTCTCGTATCTTGAATTACATTGTCATTTTTTTTCTGGTTTCTTTTCTCAGCGACCAATTCCTCTCTTCTCTCTTATTTTATGATATTATGTATTGTTTTATCCAGACAAGACGTGAGTTTAGGTCATATCATTCGTAAATTCAAAAAAAAAAAAAAAAAACGATATATTCAATAATTTATCTCCGTGAAATCAATGGGACGAAACAAATAACAAAAGAGCATCAGTATTATACAAGCGCTCCAAATATGTAGTGGGCGTTACTCCAGGCGATCTGATCCTCCTCCTAAACAGGGACATGGTATCACATTCCCTTATCCCCCCATATAACTATCCCGTCACAATATTTACTTTGTTTATATATCCCAGTCTTTGTTTACCTATAATAATGGCTAATTCTGCATATTTTCTGCAGTTTGGGAGTTAAAACAAAGAAAAATAACAGGAATTGAAATATTATAGCATTTTGACGCGATGGGAGGAGATATGACATAGGAGAGAGCATTAAGAGTTACAATCTTACATAATGGCGATACAATCCGTAATAATTTCACTGTCTCACGAAAAAATAAGAATAAAATCCTCGTAAAAATATAAAACGTACATCACTGATTTACTTAAGGTAGAATTTCAGAACAGTTATGATGTTATTTTAGTGTTCTAGCTTGAGTTAATTTCCTTTGTGTACTCTTATCTCTTCACTTACGAGATATTTTTTTTATCGTAAGAGTTTTGAGAATCTGGAGACTAGTGTTGACCGTGAGAGTGGTCCAGATATAAAGACCAGGTTAAGTGTACACATGACCACAAGGACGTACACATGCACGCACAGCCATGAACATGCATAAAGACAGACACATACATACAGTACATACATACACGGGTACACACAGATTCAACACAAAAGTGCTTAAACGCACATACATACATATAAAGATGAACACACACACACACACACACACACACACACACACACACACACACACACACCTGCCTTACTTACACCAAAATTCCAACACAATAATTTATGCTTTTAATTGACTTTTAACCCCTCCCCCTTATCAACCCCTCCCCCTTATCAACCCCTCCCTCATTAAACCCTTCCACCTCTGTCCTAAGTCACCGGGGGAGAAGGGGTATGGAGGTCATATGGAAAACCTAAATTGAATCAGGTTTATTTTATCGTTGATGACAGTGACTGGCGGCGTGTGTAGGGGAGGAGAGGGGAGAGAGAGAAGGGAAAGGTGGGAGGGAGGGAGGGAGAGAAAAAAGAAGGAAGGGAAAGGGGGAGAGGAGGGAAGGGAAGAGGGTAGGGAGGGAGAGAGAGCAAAAGAGGAAAGAGATACGGGAGAGGAAGGAGGGGGAGATGGGGAGGGGAGTGAGAGGGGGGGAAAGAAAAAAGAGGAATGGGTAGGGGAGGAGGGGGGAAGGGGGGAAAGAAAGAAAGGGGAGAGGGAGGGGAGAGGGGAGATGTCAACACAACACAAACAAGTAGTTCACGGTCCCCTAATTCTCAAAGGTTTGCACACACACACCTACCTCTCTCTCTCTCTCTCTCTCTCTCTCTCTCTCTCTCTCTCTCTCACCTGGGCGTCTGGTCCTCGTTGTCCAGGAGGGAGAGGTCACCGCCAGCCTCCACCAGTAGCCTCAACACCCTCCTCGACCCCCGGTAGGAGGCGCCGTGGACGGGGGTGGCGCCCTTCACCCCGCACCTCCTGTTGGGGTTGGCTCCAAGACGCAGCAGAAGGGCCACCACTTCGTTGTCTCCGCCGAAGGAAGCGCAGAAGAGGGGCGTCTGTCCGTGCGAGTTGACGCTCTCGATGTGGACCCCTGTGGGAGGGAGAGATGGGTGTTAGTGGTGGTGGTGGTGGTGGTGGTGGAGGTGGAGGTGGTGGTGGTGGTGGTAGAGGTGGTGGTGGTGGTGGTAGAGGTAGGTGGTGGTGGGTGTAGAGGTGGTAGAGGTGGTGGTAGAGGTGGTGGTGGCGGTAGAGGTGGTGGTGGTGGTGGTGGTGGTAGTGATGGCGACTGAAAATAATACTGGTGGTGGTGATAATAATGGTGGAGGTTGTAGTGGTGATAATGGCGTTAATATAACTACAATAAACAATACCTCATCATAAAACAGCCACAAACAACAAGTCAACACACAGTAGACACCTCCCCCATCCCCCCCCATCCACCCTCTACAAACACCTACATTAATACAACCACGTTATCACAAGACCTACATGCAGAAGGTATGAACGAGGAACAAATCAGCAGTCATCATCACTCAAGTTCTGGGTGAGTAGCCAGCGAAGTGCCCCACCCCACACCCACCCCATCCCACACCCACTCCACCCCACCCACTCCACTCCACCACCCCACCCCACACCCACTCCACTCCACCCCACCAGTCATCTCTGAGTGATAACATTACGACACGGACGGTAACTAACAACACGATTACACAACACTGATATGAAAATAGACTGTCATTTCCTGGGTTTATTTTTTCCCCTTCACAACCTATGCTTTCAGGAGTTCAATACCAACGTCAATAAAGATTTAATTCATCACTAACTTTAAAGAGCTTGTTTTTATATCCTTCTAAATCATCAGTAACTTCAAAGAGCTTTTATTTCTATATGCTCTTGGTAATCCCATCCAGGCCGGAGTGTTGGAGCAGCCGACTTTATCTCTTGTAATATTAATGTATAAATATTCAAGTGTATAAATGAATAAACGTATAAATGCATTGTTGTATAAATGTACAGGAATATATAATTGGAGAAGATAAAATTGTCTGGACTGGAAAGAAAGCTGGACACACACACACACACACACACACACACATTCCTCGACAGGCACTCAACTCTTCCGGTAAAAATGTTCTGCTCCCTCCCTCCCTCCCTCCCTCCCTTCCCCTTCATCCTCCCTTCCTTCGTTCTCCCTTTCCTTCCCCCCTTCCTCCCTCACACTCCCTTCCTCCCTCAGCAGAAGCAGGGAGGCCCCAGGGAGGTGAGGTGATCCCGGCACAAAGGAGGAACACGCCCCTATCTTCTTCCTCATCTCCTGCCGCTGCTCTAGGTCACGACCCCCCAAGCGGCCACCACTGCAGGGGGCAAGTGGGGGCAAGAAACGGGGTAAGGAGGCTGGAAGAGGAGGGGGCAAGAGAGGGCAAAGGGGCAGGAGAAGGCGGCGTCAAAGGTCACGGGTGGAGGGGAAGTGGTGGGTGGACGCGGAAGCATTGTGGAGAATGTGATGTTTTGATTCTGTCGTTTATACATTTCTATTTTGATTCAGTTGTTTATAGATACTTGATGTTATTCTGTCGTTTATACATATTTGCTTTGATTCTGTCGTTTATGAAAGGTTCTCTTTTCTTTTGTCGTTTATACAATAACAACAGGTAAAAATAACAGAGGAATATACAAAGAATAGGATAAAATGAAGACAAAAGTGATAAAGGAAGCGGAAAATAAAAAAATACACGAAGAAATGGACTAAAAATATAACAAAAACAGGGAGATAAAAAGAAAACAAAAGATGGATAGAAAAAAAGAAGAGACGAAAAAAAACGTAAAAAAGAGATATTATGTGAAAAGTGAGAAAGACGAAGAGAGGAAGAGGGAAAAGATGAGAGGAACGCGTGATGATGTGGTGCGTGTACTCAGGGGAGGAGCATGGTGGAATGAGGCAAACACTGGCCAGGGGGGGAGAGTAAACAGGGGCTGGTAAAGAAGACAAAAGCACTCTTGAAAGTAGGATAAACATGGTTGCTTCTCGCTCACCTTCTCGTCAGAATTTGTGTGTGAGAGAGAGAGAGAGAGAGAGAGAGAGAGAGAGAGAGAGAGAGAGAGAGAGAGAGAGAGAGAGAGAGAGAGAGAGAGAGAGAGAGAGAGAGAGAGAGAGCCTGACACCTCCTGCATCTTCTGTGGAAGTCGTGAGTCACGTTCAAGTGAGGCTGTTCCACCTGCCTATACCTGCCTCCCACCTCCACCTGCCTATACCTGTCTCCCACCTCCACCTGCCTATACCTGTCTCCCACCTTCCACCTTCATCTGCCTCCCCCCCCTCACCACCACCTACCCCAATATTACACAAACGTTCAACTAATTGACTTTAATGTATAGTCACGACTCACTACACCTCGCTAATTGGCTCCAAAGGTAAGTGACCCCCATTAATCTCTAAGAAAGTAACGAAATAAAATGAATTACTTTTCACAAACTTTCAAAATACTTAATGAGAAAATAATGTCTTAAATCCAAGAGGAAAAGTTTGAACAAGGAAAAAAAAAAAGTAAGGTGTAATTTTAGGCTATATTTCGTGGGTTTAATTTCCACCTTTCCTGACCTGAATGATGTTGCTAGTTAGTGAGAATGTTTACTTATTTATTTTTTAGTTTATTTTTATGTTTTTGTGCAACTATTGTTTATTTCACGGTCACGATCCCAAGACAACTCTATCCGGGAAACTCCACCTGTCGAAGGAAGAAATTGACAGAGCAATGTCCTTCTATACTGACTATCAGGTTCTGTCAAGTTCTGTCAAGCTTTCGTGAAGTGACAGTAAGACAGATGGCTCTCTTGTGTGACGTCTGAAGTCTGATCCTCACTATTTAACCAAGATAACGTACGTGTGTGTGTGTGTGTGTGTGTGTGCGTGTGTGTGTCTATTATGATGCTTTGACTTATCGTAACACAGTTTTGTTTTTATCCTTTGTTTTGGATTAACTGATAGTAATTTGTTTTTAACCTGATAGTCTTTTGTTTTATACCTGTTAGTCTTTTGTTTTATACCTGTTAGTCTTTTGTTTTATACCTGATAGTCTTTTGTTTTATACCTGATAGTCTTTTGTTTTATACCTGATAGTCATTTGTTTTTTAACCCGATAGTCATTTTATTAACAAATGTCTACAGAAATTATAAAAAAAATTACAAATATTCAATAGTAATGAACTTAAAAGCAATGTAATACTACTACTACTACTACTACTTCTATAATAATAATAATAATAATAATAATAATAATAATAATAATAATAATAATAATAATAATAATAATAATAATAAGAAGAAGAATAAGAATAAGAATAAGAATAAGAATAAGAATAAGAATAAGAAGAAGAAGAAGAAGAAGAAGAAGAAGAAGAAGAATTCACTGGTTGCATCTGACCACAAAGATATACCACCATACTAGGAGAGGTAAACAACATTAGATATACCACAACAAAAGAGTATATTCCAGGTAAGGTATAACCCCAGGTCTTTGTCTGAGGAAAGGAGTGGTATATGTACAGACACAGGTAGACAGACAGACAAAGGTAGAGAGAGAGACGGGTAGACAGATAGCCACAGGTAGACAGAAACACAGGTAGACAGAGACAAAGGTAGACAGACATACACAGATAGACACATGTAGACAGAGACACAGGTAGACAAAAACACAGACAGACAGTTAAAGAGACAGATACAGATACAGATACAGACAGACAGGTAGATAGATAGACACAGACAGACAGACGCGTAACAAAAGCAGAACTGGCTCCAGCACGGGATAATTGTGGGAGTACACCAGTTTATAATGATATGTTATATATACGTGTCAAGCAGTGGCCTTGAAGCAGTAAGAGGGGGAGGATGGGGGGAGAGGGGGATGATAGAGGAAGGGGAGGGGGTGATGGAAAAGGGTGGAGAAGGGAGGAGGAGGAGGGGGTGATGGACGAATAGTGAGAGGATGGGGGTGATGGAAAGGGAATGGAGGGGGTGAGGAGGAGGGGGTAATGAAGGAAGGAGGAGAGGGGGTAATGGAAAGGGGATGGAGAAAGGAGGAGGATGGATAAATGAAAAGAAGGGGAAATGAGAGGGGGAGTAGAGTGAGAAGATGACAGAGGAAGGGGAGAAGGAGGGTGTGAAGGAAGGAGAAATAGAAGAGGGTGAAAAACGAAGGAGAAATTTGGGGGCATTGGGGTTGAAGGAGGAGATAGAGGTGAGGGAGTTTGGGTCAAATGGGAAAATTGGGAAAAGTTGGGAAAATGTGGCGGAGTGAGCGAAACTTATTAGAGATAATGGGTAAATGAATAGATAAATAGGTAAATGGGCAAAGGAATGATGGGTGGGTTAAAAAGACAGACAGACCGACAGACAGATAGACAGACAGACGGAGACAAAGACAGACGCACACAAAAAACAAGATCAGGGTACATTTACATATCATAACATCAAAATATTACCAACGGAAGTCCGTCTGCCGAGAGGGGCGTCAGCAGTGATGTGAGGGAGGGTGGGAGGGATGGATGGAGGGAGGGAGGGAGGAAGGAAGGTGGGAGGGAGGGAGGGAGGGAGGGAGGGAGGGAAACGAAGAAGGAAAAAGATGAAACGGGGCAGGATGGAATAAATGTGGGAAGGTGGAATGAGGAAGGTTACGGTTAACAAATCTGTTGACAAAGCTTGGAGTACAGTTTGCCTATTCTGAGTAAATTCAGTCAGGTCTTGACACTGAGGGTGGTATCACTGTTCACTGCCACACAGGACAGTGGTTCATATACAGTAGAAGTCATAATTAAGGACTAATCAGTGTGAACCAGCAGCAAATTTTGGATAAACAGCAAGAATGTCCTCAAGCAGTCCTGATTCAATGGAATAATTACAAAGTTCATGATACAATAAGCCAGGTGGCCTGAAGTCTTCGACAGTATCACATTTAATAATATAGTGTTCAAGTGTATGCTTTAAAGGTTTATCACAAAGTTTACACGCTGAGTGTTACGGTATGGGTACAGCGTTACTAACTTGCCAGATGTGTCTGTATCCTAGCCTAATTCTGGCCACGACTACATCACATT